ATGTGACGGCTACCGATAATGGGACATTTCCTGATGGAGCAGATGAATCCCACGTAAAGCACAAGTCAATGAGACAGAGACCAGTACGAAAGAAGAAACGTCCTGTAAAATTAAGAGACTTTGTTCTATTTTAAAAATTTGTGTTTGTAAATTCTGTACATTTAATTAAATTATTGTTAATTATCTATTGGTTTAATGTAAGTGGCTATTGTTTGGGATGAACAATACTAAGGAAGGGTCAGTGTTACGACAGCGGAAGTCGTGTGATTCTGGGAGCATGCGCGCTGGAGTTTCTCGAATTATCGGGGACCCCGCATATGTCCGAGTATTTGCTAAACGCCCTCTTTTTTTGGTATATAAGCCTGGCAAAGAAAGCCAGCGAAATAGATAGATATAGAGATAGATAATTGAATCAAGAGTACAGTAGCTACATGAACCGTAAATTGTGTGTGCTTTGCAGTTGCATAAACACCCTCTATCTAGGTCCCCTCTAAATCTTCTTTTTCCAAGAGAAAACAATTTCAGAGATCTTAACTTGTCCTGTGACAACCTTTTCATCCATCTTAAATTCCTAGCATCACATATGTAGTATTTTATTTTGATGCTGTGGTTGAACTGTTCAAGCAACAATAAGATTAGCTTTCTGATTTGCCAGTTATTCGGAATGATGAGTAAAGTTATTTAAAGTAAAAATAAATAATATTAATACATAACTGGTGTTAAAATACATAAATAATAACTGAATGCTTCAATGCACTTCCTAAGGTAAGGAGCCAAAGTGGTCTAACCAGTGACCTGTACAATGAAAGCATAACCTCTCTAGACTTCTGTTCAATATTTCTATAGATACAATCTAAAATCCTATTTGCCATACCACTAACAACAACACATTGTTTGGATGGCTTTAGAGACTGATCAACTATTACACCAAGATCCCTTTCTTTCATGACACTGTTAAGGTTATTCCCATCAAAATTATAATCATAATTCATGAAAAATATGGTTCCACAATGACTCTTCTTTTAGAAATAGCTTTTTACAGCTGTCCATGTTCTGTTGGGATTGGCCAAGATGGAAAATGTGTTCATTTTTCTTCTTTTTAAAGACATAATCCATATGAAGTTTTAATAATTAAATACACAGCAAATATTTGAAAGTATTTAATAAAATCCACTAGATAATACAAAAAAGTAACATAATACAAACACAAACAAAAAATGTTTATGCTAAATTAGGACTATACTACTAATGGCTGGAGACGGCTTAAATGGGTAATGAAGAAAAACTTTAATATAAGTTTAACAT